TAACACAAATTTGATTGGCTGGTCATGTCACATGAGACACTGCACCAGTTGGAAGCAGAGAAGTGATGTGTACTGGACTGGCCATTGCCTTTACTAACAATACTGGGGAAACAGGGAGGAGAAATTATATATTATATAAATATATATAATACTATTAATAGTCTGATCTCAGAAGCTAAGTAGGGTCGGGCCTGGTTAGTACTGGGAATGCCAGGTGCTGTGACCTTTTTTATGTTTTTTTTTTTGGCTTTTTTTTGGTGGTCGGTTCCATAGTGCAGCAGTTAGCATGCCTGACTTGGAAGCAGAGAGCCCTGGGTTTGATTCCCAAAGGAACCACATGCTTGGTGCCTGTTAACAGCTGCTGTTAACACAAGAATGTCCCAAATGGGTATCAATAAAGTTCATGTTTTAATACATGATGTAATAGACAAGAACCTGAAACTTATCTACATCAACATACATTTTCTTGGATAGAGAGTTCAACTCGTCCGTCCTGGACCACGTAGATGCTGTCATCATCATCTCCAGGCCTGAAAAGACATTCACCTTCTTGTAGCTCAATAGATACCATGTGGCGACACAGCTCCAGAAACAGAGGTTTGTCAAAATGGCCCAGGACCCTGAAAATTATACCATACCAAATGTAATTTAGTCAAATGTCATAAAAGATGCATTCAAGGACGAGATTACATTTTAGAATGCGCATGTGTATATGTAATGCCTGAGTTCAACCTGCACATGCTGTCACGCTATATTTAAGTTCATAAAATGTACTGCAATTGAAAAATATAAATAAATGATAATAATATTAACAGGTAATACAGATGTCAATTATTTATAATAATCAGTAGTAGTAATAATAAATAATGGCTTTTAATTGGCTATTCACCTCTGGTCTTAATCTTTTGAATAAATTGGTCTTGGTCCAAATTTAGTAACTACAACATACATCACATAATATTTTCATGATCCTAAAATGTACTAAACTCTAAACTGTTTATTAAGACTTTGTGTAACTGTGTTATTAAGATAAACTTTGTGTTATTTAATTGTCATTATTATTATTATATATTATATTATATATACAGTATATATATTTATTTATTATTTAACATGGTTTTATTATATCGATTATTAAATCATCTTACAGTATTGCAATTTTCATTCATGTACACAGAGACATATATTGTAGCATTAAAACAAAGAGGATATTTCATCATTAAAAAAAAAAGCCTAAAAGTAAAGCCTTTACTCACATTCTATTTAGTTTTTACGTCTCTTTAGAAAACATTGGTCATTGACTGGGTCTTTGATAAAACTGATAAGTTAAGAAGACAAACACCGAAGGAAAGCTGGGTGAATATTGTTTACCTAACATTTTTCAGCATGTAAAGGACTTCCGACGGCAGGTTTGAGCTCTGCACATCAAACTCTGTTAAGTCAGCCTCCAGCAGTGAGGGAGGGGGCTCCTTGGGCTGTAGGGTGGGGGGGTCTTTACGGATCCTTAGGATTCTGTGGAAATGAACACAAAATATTTAATTACAAGGCTCAACATCAATGCACATCTTACGTAATGGGTGTTGCAGAATTAAAATGGGGAAATCAACATGTACTTGCGAGCTATGCTCAAAACTTTGGTTCTTTTGCGAACGCGCTGTGTTGGCTTGGATACCGAGGCAGAGTTTTGGGGAGGCATTAAGGACAGAGTTTTGACCTGAAGAAGAAAAACGGGCAAGAATCAGATTCCTTGTTTTGCCACAAGCATGGAGACGTGCATGGTTGTTTATTAGAGTGGAAATAAACCACAAACAATGTAGCTATAAGAGGATGAAGAAAACCTTTCTCATTATCTTCCTTCCATAGAAGAGAACTTTATCTCTTTTTCTGAAGCGATACTGGGGCACACCTGGCTGCTGTTTGTCTGTAAACGAAAAAAATATTTATTTTTTTTTGCCAGCAAGATTGGTATCTGATATGGAGAGTGAAAATTTTCAATTTGGTTGAAAGGGTTACCAATTTACTAAGCTATCACATTTGAAATGAAAATATTATAATATATCGGAGGAATCATTCGAATGAGCATTATCAGTAAAAGGCTTTCAGACTAGCCAAGGTAATCAGCTGACGGTCATCACAACACTGGAAGAGCTCAAATTATATAATTACAATAAACAGAGCACTTGGGGGGGAAATGACTCACTGGCATGTTTAAATCTTCTGTAAAGGAAGAGGACAACGATGCCAATCAGTGAGATAGCAACTGCAGCTCCGATAAGGACACCTGTAAGCTGCAGAAAAGAGAAAAGTAATTAAACAACAGCATTAAAACATCAAAGCCACTCCTGTGTATAGAAAAGAAAAGAAGAGAAGAGAAAAAAAAGAATATATTGGAAAAAACTAGGGGAAGTGAAAACTGCTGAGTGATTATGACTTGTCTAAGGCAGATCTCATAAAACTGCCATTCTAGGTAGAAAGTTTCCCATTAAAAAAAACTTCAGTCTTTAAAAAGTGCTGTCAGTGATTTTTCTTAATACCATGGTTGTCTGCATCCTCTCCTCCACAAACTGCTGCAGCCGTGCCCCAATTTCATTTTTGCTGTTCAGCAGCACCTAAAAACACAAAGTAGGAAGGAAGACTTTCTTAATGCTGCTCAATTATATATTGATAAGCAATAAAATGTGACCACTGACAGGTTTTGCAGTGTACAAAACAATTTCAATTTTTCTCATGACTGTATATTTGTTTCTCTTTTTTACAGATTATTTTGTGGCCAGTTAGTGTCAAAAAAAGCTTTTGTTTTTGGGACAAAAACTGTTGCTTACTGAAGTGGGCCATCCACACAATACTCCATCCTCGTCCTCCTCACCATGGCACTCAATCCTGTGAAACATAAATGCTTAGTAAATACCTCTTATGTTACAACATTTAGGTCTATAAGTATACAAGCAGAGCAAAGGTCTTGAAATACATATTGGATTTTACCATCTTAAAAAAAGGTTTCATTCATAAGTAAGCTTTTCTTTTCCATCCATTTAAAATGTATGAATGCAACCTTTACATTCATACATGTGTCACTTTTTTACAAGAGTTACAAAAAAGGCTAAAAGTCAACCTCCAAAAACAATCAAGCAAAATGTAATGCTAATATACAAGTAAAACTTGTAATATATACTATACTATATATAGCAAACATAGTACAGTAAAACTACCAACAAGTACCAAACAAGAAGAAAAGAAAATAGCATAGAATTGTCAGTACAGAAAGGACTATTGGATTTCACTAAATGTAGTTCTTGATAGCATTATACCACAAGGACAGAGCAATATGACGTTGTATTGCTTTTTTAGCTAAAGACACCACAAGTCACAAGCGAAACAGTGTTAAACTTTAGCATATAGCATAGGCCTCCTTTAGCTATATTCATATTGTGAATATTGCTTGTGGGAAGGATATTTCCTAATAAACATTGAAGAGACATGGTAGCAAAAACTACCTTTTGTTTCCCGAAAATAATGCAGTAAAGTACAGAAGAAATTACTAAAAACAAACAAAGCCCAATATCAACCCAAAATATTTAAATTGAAATCCATAAAATCTAAATGTTTAAATGTTTGGTTCCTTGGTGTGTATATTAGCTGCACTCCCACTCTTATAAATGTATCCCGCTGTCTGGATAAAAATACGTAATGGCAACGAAAACTAACTAACTACTAAATATCTTTGTGAATTAAGGCTGATTTTAATATGCACATTTAATGAAATTTAAGTTTAACCGTTACCGACAGCTCATCGTAAGCTAACAGCTAGCATCAATGATGCTATAAGCCTTAGCTACTATCATAAAACAAATGCCGTTTAACGTCTCCTACTGTTTTATGGAGCTGGCAATGTAAAGGTTCATAAATCAATAAACTAGACTCACCCGTCAAGCATTTCCTCGGTTTTTAATAGGGTGACATTTCTGAAAAGGCAGTAGTGTTAAGTTACCCAGCAGCTAACAAAGTTTTGTTTGTATCGACTCTCCTACTCCCGCCCACATTTCAACGTATGCCAACGGGATTGCTGTTTTCAGACCTTACCGTGGTACTCGCTCAATGAATTCCACCAATCAGAGAAGGTCCCTTACTTCCTGTTTACACAGACTTAAAAAGATGGGTTCCGTAAAAAAAAGACACGAAAGGACAAATCTTTTTTATTAGTATTTTATTCTTAACATATTGTAATTCTTAGTGAAGTGGGGTTTTGTAGTTAACAAATATAAAGTATCACAGTTATCAAATTCAAATTTGTTCTATATACAGTATAGTAATGGTGTTATCTATTGTAAATTATAAAGGTTATATCTTGTAATTCGCCAGTATCTATACTAAGCCATTTGCTTTTTCTGTAATTTTAAGATAAATATATAATTGTTTTATAATTTGAAATCTAATTTTTTGCATTCACATGGGTTTTATGTGAGGAAAATGATGACGATGAAGAAGATCGAGAAAAAGAAAACGTTTTTGATAAAACTTGCACCTTAGTATAAAAAAGACGGATCCATCGATAAAATATTACAGTGTTGTATTCTTTAATTGTATAGCAAGTTAATCAGATGTTGCCATTGTTGTTACAAAGTTTTATTACTATTACTAAGAAAAAAATACATTCAACAATAGAAGTACAATTACATTTTAAAGGTGTAATTCCATCTATGATTTTCACTTCACTGTAGCATCAGTAGCGTCTTCTTGCTGATTAACAATCCCTCTTCACCAGACAGCAGAAATACACAAAACATTGTTTTACATGTATTTTGGTATCAATACCATCACAAATGATGTTCCCATTCTCGATATTAAACACTTAGTTATTAAATTATTAATAATATTATCTCTTTTTGTTGTTAGATAAACTCAAACAGGAGAGTTTCTACAGAATAGAAAACTAAGCACAAAACAAATACTAAAAGTCACAAGCAGCATTTACATACATTAAATATGAAGAATACTACATCTTTACTCACATTCACTTCCATCATTCCATTATGCATCTTCAACAAATCAATTCTGCTCCTCTGACTCTCCATCATAATTCCATGTAAACATCCACAGCCATGTTTTCAGCTTTCACTTTCATGTGGTAAGATTCTTTCTATCAATCCTTCCAGACAAAACAGCAATCAAACAACTGCAATCAACAGTGAGTAATAGCCTTGACACAGTGTGCATGCACAATTAGAGAGAAAACTGTGGGATTTGCAGTGCTTTTTCACTCTCTAAATGGGGCTAAATAAAAAATCCACAATCAGCACAGCTCCAGCATGCAGTGATACAAACTCAGAAACACTAAATAGCTACAACACAATTAAGGAAAATTAATGACAACAACATCTCATCATAATAAATTCTCAACATCCAGACACATATCACTCAAACATGCTGGTTTTTTCCTCTTAAATCATTTTTCTTCACGACTTCAACGTTGCTTCGATGTTTCCTGATAACACCTCTACATGTTCAGGTACTTGGCCACAGAGCGATAAGCCAGGAGGATCTCTGAGTCACGTGGGCAGGTGTAACGAAACTCATCCTGTTTGTAGGCGTTAGTTAGGTAACGCGTCAGACCTTTCAGCTGTGGAGGGATGTCAAATTTTCGGTATTCCATACACACCACCTGTGAAAACGGCGTATTAAAGCAGTATAAGTATATAAAAATAGGTGTCCCAAAAATACAATGACATTATACACTTTGAATTAAATCGCTTAAGTTTGTTCAGGATGCCCAGTATTTCTCTACTACATACGTTTATTTTAACATTAACTAAGAAACATAAGTAAATAATAAGTAAATTGGAAATACCTGAAGCACAAGATTGACTAAGACAATAACAGTGTTGTGCAATTTAAAAAAATAAAATAAAAGGTTTAAATATATATATATATATTATCCTTTATTTATATATTTAATTTTGAGCATGGTGTTGAAATTTAGTTAGCTAAATGCTATTATAAACAAAAACATTTCGGTAGAATTTTTATCAATAGCTAATGTTGGGGCGGTTTTCTTAAGCTGAGCTTACTTTGACAATGTGCAGTTTGGGAAGCAGGTTACAGTCTGCCAGTGAGAGGCTGTCGCCGTCTAGGTACAGGCGTGTGGACGTGTTGGCATTTGGATTCTGGTCCAGTTCGTGAGGCAGAGGAGTCTCCAGATACTTGTCGAGCTTCACAAGAGTAACTAGAAACTTATTCTCCAGCACTGGGAGAGAGAGAGAGTCAGATCAGTCAGTCTTTACATATCAAATGTCGCCCTCGTGTGGTCACAAATGAAGACGAACTGATGCGCTTACTGTCATTTAGGCTTGGGTTGGGGTTTTTAATGTATGCAGAAAACTTCCGGAAAATGTCTTCTCCGGCACCGTTGGACTCCTTGTATCGACAGCATAGTTTTTTGTAACTGCCATTTGAAAAATAATGGTGGGTGTGACATTTTCAATGTGATTTAAAAGAAAGTAGAAAAAAGTTCATATCTAAAAGTACTTCAGGTAAAAGTCAAGTATATCACTTTCGAGATCTATAACAGACATTAGGGATATTTCACTTTTATTTTTCCAATGTTTTTAAAGATAGCCTTTTTGTCAAAATTACAACTTTTAAGGGTCTTTGCATGTACTAACCTGAGTGTGTAATAAATATGGTAAATCGTATGTCCACGTTTAAGCCACTTTATCCCTATGTTTGCTAGCCGTTAGCATCTTTTTGGTCAATTGTAGGCTAAATTTACTTTTTACTCAGTTCAAATATTTTTAGTTAATGTAAAGCTGTTTTCTTATGAAATGTAGTTCCCAAATTTAGGAAGGCTTTTTTAACCAAATTTGGCCTTATTTTCAGCTAACTGTACTACATTTTGTATATTTAGCCAGGATTAGCCAAGATAATTTAAGGTCTGTTGTGCCATTTTTTTTAATGTTTGGGGAACAGTACACATAATGAGTGTTTGTTACTTGTATTATTTGTATTTGTTTCAGTTTTTGGCAAATGTTAAGCTGTTTCTCAATAAATTTCTTTCAACACTTTTCCCCAACTTTGGGATATAACACATCAATCTTTAGCTATTTTTGTTAAGCATTTGGTTTTGTTGACCATTTCTGTGTGGGCCTCATGTTAATGTGACCCACAAACATGGACTACGTTAACATGTTGACTTGAAAAGATTTCTTCAGCTGTCATTCACTCACTGTGGTGGAGCTAAGGTCTCTTCCAGAAACTCCTCAATTTTGTTGGTGTCAGTTTTGACTTCGCCGTTGCAGATGAGGAAGGGCGGCTGAGAGCCTGGAGCCAGAGCTTTCAAAGCATCAGGTGTCCTGTAACAGAAGATGTAGAATCAGTTCTAAGAACCAGTCCAGACATAGCTGACTAGATGTATACCTTGAATAGCAATAGTGAGCCATACATTTGTATTTTTATAATTGTATTTTCATGACAAATGTTTCTGCAAAGCTGCAAAATAAATTATCATCAGGTGACAGTGTGACCAGAAAACATTGCCCTTAAAGTTCAGAATAATGACGACAGTTGGCAATAGTAAGGCCATAAATGCAGCTAGTCTTGAATACTGTCTTATGCACAGAACTATAAAGAAGTGTCCTCACCGTGTCATGTCCACAGTAGTGAGGGTAAAGTCTACGCCCTTCAACCACAGAATCATGAAGAGTCTCTGACAGAAAGGACAATTCCCCACACTTTCTGCATCAATGCTCGCCTGACAAACACACAGACATTTATATGTTAGTGTCCAAGTCAGACTACAGGCCAGCAAGACAAAAACTCAATACACAGATATGGGCAGGCTAAAAGAAAGAAAGTTAAACTAAGGTCAGGGATTAACAAGTGCCCGGGGCACTGGTCTGTAAAATGTATACATTTACACTTGTGACCTTTGGGGGGCGGTTAACAAATGTTATTACATCTATATTTTAATTGAAGTCCCTTGTTTGTCCCACAGTGCCAACATTGTTATGTGTAAGGTCGGTGTATAAGGTCGGCATGATAATCGCTACACTATGGAACACTATTAAAAAAAACTATACACCTCAGCTAAAGTTTAGCCTCATTGAGTTACCTCAGTTATGCAGTGGTTCCTTAGCTTGGGTGTAGACCTGCATCAGCCTCCATTTGAGCAGGCTCAACAAGAATGCCTGTACGGCTAATCGGAGTTCAGTCTAGGTACTCATTAATATTGCAGTAATACTAACGTACCAGTGCACCATCTCATCATTATCTGACTGTCTTCTTGTGACAGACCTCTGCGTGTGACTGTCAGTAATATGGACCTGGAGTGACTTTTTAGCTAGTTCTGATTCGACTTCCTGTTTTGTGCATTCTTCTTATGTGTCCATTGTGATTTCACATACTGCCTGAGTTCTCAATGTACTGATCTGTTGAGTGTAGAGCTTTTTGTGAAAGCTCGTCAAACTTGGTCAATCTGTCTCGTACCAGCAGTGAATCACAAACCCTTTACTAGCGCACATCAACTTTTCGATTTTAAACAGAATCTCTCCGCCTACACTTCCCATACTCATCCAACCATGAACATGTCTGAGTGTTTGCGGCTAGCATGGGGTTTCACATCCTGGATACCAGATACAGGCCAACTGTTGTGGTTGCTAACTGAAATCTAAGCCTCTAAGAGCTTGTAGAATAGATTCTTACATGATTTTTTTTTAATAGCCAAATGTTTAATTTGTTTAGCCTTCTTTATTAGTGAACCTTTAGTATCTTTTGAATAAGTTCTTATTAATTTTGAAAATATTAAAAACTATATATAAAACTACTTTTATCAACTTTGTTGCAGCTAAATTGTATCTATTTCTGGCTTAACTAATTTTTTTAGCATCTTAGCTAATCCAAATCTATTTATTATATATATATATATAAGTATTTAGCTATTGGCAAAATACTAACTTTAAATTATACCTTTTCTTAATCTATTTTTATAATAACAGTTGTGTGTGGCTAACCCTCAGTTATAAATCTTTAAAAAATACTTAGACTAAGGTTCTTATTTCTAACTTGTGTCATGTCTTGCTAACATTGTATGACTGTAAGGGTTTTCAATGTAATCTTAGCTATTTTAGCACATCCCACAGCATTTACGAGTCTCACATCAATTAACATCAATTTTCAACTCAACTTGAAAGGAAACACGCAAAATTTTTCAGTGCTGTACGACTGTTTTTTTTTTTTTTTTGTCTAACGACATCTGATTATTTTGTTATCTTAAAACTGAAAGAACTGCATTTCAGCTCAAGGCAAAAGCTGAAAGCTAACATAAAGAATGTGAAATATTAGGCACTGAAATAAATAATATTTTTTAAAACTACCAAAAAAAACATTAAAATGAAGTTACATTGCACAATGTTGACTTCATCAACAAAAAAAGCTGAATGATACCCAAAGATTATAACCAATAAGAAAAAGTAGAGATAAACGCAAAAAACAAAATGGGGTATATGCACAAAAATAGCATTGGGTTTTTTGTTTGTTTTTTTCTTAGGATTTTAGGATTAAGAGAAATGCACTATTTGAAATTTGCTCATACAGTAAGTTTTGATGATGCCTAACTTTTGGAACAGGATTTATAAACAACAAGTACACAAAAATGAAAATGAAATGAAATTCCACAGAGATATTCTTCCTTGAAGGTCTGTGACATTTAACAGACTGCTGCTGCTGCTGCTGCTGCTGCTCAGGTTGACATGATTTGTACAACATTAACATACCTTCACGAAGAGTTCAATCTTCGGGGCCTCAGCCATGGTTTTGTCTCAGTTTTTGTATTTTTTTGTAAACTGTCCACTGGTGTCTTCTGGAGTTGTTTCCTGTAAGGTTTATACAAAGAAGGAAGAAATGACTTGACGTGTTGATCCTGATGAGTCAAATCTTTGTCCACTTTTAGACACACACATACATGCAGTGAGTCTTGTTTAATTTATTCCTAATGCTAATTATCACCAAATACGATTTCGAACTTCGAGAGCCTTATAAAATCTTAATTAATTACCGGATTGTCATATATGACAAATGAATAACAAAAAAACAAAATTCAGTCACACAACCTAAAAGTTCATACTCACTGCGGTGGTCAGAGCCTCTTTTCCACAGTATATATGTAGTGATATCCCACAGTTTGGCCTCACCCTATCCTCCCTCTCTTCTGTCTCTCTGTCTCCTTGTTTTCACCTGTGCGTCTACCACACCTTTCAGACTCTCAGGCCCAGTGGGCACCTCCCTCTGGCCTTTCCGGTCCAACCAGCAAATCTGGATCGCAGCTCCTAACCTCGGAGCCTTCCAGCATATTCTATCACATCAATCTGTCACTCTCAGAGCAACTTGTTTCTGGCCACTTTGGTCTCAGTTTGACCCTTTGGTTCCGTTCAACATCACAATTAGGACCAATTTCATGTCATTAAATAGTTATGGGATGTTAATTGTTGCCATAGTGACCATTTCTAGTTATGTGAAGGGGTGCCCCCATGCCGGTTTTTTGTCTGGTGCCTTTATTCTCTGTCTTTTCTTTCCTCTCTTATCAATACTGTCTCTGTGCCTTTTGCCTCAGACTCTGTGTTCTCCTCAGTGGTGTGTATGTGTGCTACTGGCATCACTATACTTGTGGGGATAAACATTATTGTTGTGGCATTACGGGGACATTTTGAAGGTCCTCACTGATTTAGCGGCGTTTTTTGAAGTTTAGCTTTAACTAACAATAGGATCAGGGATAGGGTAAGTTATTATGGGTAGCCAACGTGCTTACAGACAACACAAAACAGGGTGTCTGTGTTTGTGTGTGTAGGGCATGTTCATCATGACCGTCAGAGAGATTGTGTCATGCAGCCGGTATTTACTGAGGTCACTGATGTTTCTGTGTACGACAGAAGAAGGAAGAAACACCTTAACTCAAAAGCTTCACACGTGAATAGTTTCACGGTGAGAGGAGTGGTGAAAATAACATAAAGAAGAATTCACCTCATTACAGATAGACATGGAAAATGACAAGACAGAATAAGAGAGGCATTTCGCGTTAGGAAGGACGTCACTGGTTCACCTCCAGAGCCACAGACGGTCTCTCTGTGAGGAGACTGCATGGCCTGTTTTTGCTTCATTTTCTGCTGGTCTGTGGTCAACATTTATTTAGATATAACTTCTGGTTTTCAAAATAAAAGTGAACAATTTAAAAATAAATAAATACATAAACATCTTCAGGCAAAAGAATATACAAAACATTGACAGTGACATAAGACAATGCTCTGGTGCATATATCACTGTCAATGAAAATGTGGTTCGGCCTCTTGAACAGTCCATCCAATCGTCACGCTGAAGCTCATTGACCACGACCAGTCAGGTTTTATCCAATCAGCAATCTAGAAAATGTGCAGAAGAAACAAACTGACACTCGGTTGTAACAGGGCTGTCAAACAAATGAGATCGTTAATCTTTTTTTATTACAGAGTAGATGTGGATTACACACGATTAATTGATGAAAAAAATGTTTCAGCAGTTCTTAACAGTTACAGTAACAAACAAACATGAGAAACATGAGAGCTTTCAAATAATTCCATGCTATAACTGTTTTCTTTTTTATTATTATTATTATTATCTCTTCAACAGTTTCAACTACTACATGCCAACCTGCTACCCTTTTTCAATTTATTATGAAATTTACTAACGGATATTTTAGTTACTTTGCATTAGTTTCCCAGCATGTGAGAGACAAACAGCTTTGAAATAACCACGATTATGATGTGGTGTTAAAAAGGTTAAGTTTAAGTTAAGCTTAAGGGTTTTTTTTTCCATGATTATTGTTTGCTAATTTTGCCTGCAATATCAGACATTTCAAGAGCATCTTACAAAAATGTGTATAATTTTTACCCTGATAAAGGCATACATTGCAGATTCTTGTTGTTGATTCTGATGTATGTTACTTGTTTGGTGCATTAACAACACATTTATTGTTATATAAACATTCTCAACCTTGGTCTTAATCTAAACCACCTTGAATAATGTACGCGCCTTTGGAGAAACAGAAACTGGTCTAAGAACCGTCTCTACCACAGGTGTAGTATGTCAGAGTCCGTTTGAGGCCGAATGTTTTTTAAAGTTACTCTGATGATTCACTGGGTGCAATTTCCCCTCTGTAACCACCGTTTACACTTAAGAACATGCCCAACACTTCCTCTCTGCAACTGTGCTGCAGAGAACAGGCTGGTGAGTGCGGATGTGCTGTGTGGTATCAGTGAAGCCATGTGCACAATAATAGGATCATATTCGCTAATGGGCAGGGATTGATGTAGATGGGAGTGCGTCTGAAACAGTGGGAGATGCTTAAAAATGGCCTGACCCTACGTCAGAACACTTTATATCTTCACCATCCTGCAAGGAAACGAGTGTTTGGTTCGTGATTCTTCAGGTTTGACACCTCGCCACGAGCAGACAACCGAAATAAAAAAGACTGAGAAAATGGGCGAGCCAAAATCGTATCTGTTTGATCAGGTTAGTCAAGAAAAAATTGAAAATGATATAATCATATTATTTTACTGAGGTCTGAACTAACAAGGAATATCGTGCCAAAATCCAAACAAAAATGTCTTGTTATATGTATGATTGTTATTCACTTTTCATAATGCATTTATAATTTAGGCACTAAATGCATTGGAAGTATAACAAAAATAGAGCTGTTAAAAATATGAAATTATAGATTAAAATGATTAGGTTATTTTGAACTATTGCACAAGACCGAGGTTGAACTGGTTGATTTTAGTAACGATTCTGTTTCTCTGTGCAGAGCTAAAAAGTACTGAAATAAAAATATTGATTAAATTAAATGTGACGTGGTGTTGCTAACACTAAGACATAATTGTGATCCACAGTGGAATTAGGCTTGGTTCCACTGCTGGTCTTACAGGCATGCAATACATTTGTGCAATAGGTTTGTGGTCTGCACAGCCTGTTCCTCTGACTGCTCGCTGTCTGTTTTTTCTAGGGAAGAAAACTCCCTTTCACAATAGTGGGGTTGAGAAGAGAAATGTCAATGGCTCATATTTGACCAGTGCTCACACTGGAAGAGTTAATGGTGAGTTTCTTGTAGAATTAACCATTGTTTTTATGATGCCAGCCCAGTTCCACTGGAGGTTTTCTGTTTTGATCATTCTTATTCTCTAGATCTGTCTGTCATGTTTGGAAAGCATCTCTAAAAACCAAGATGTTCGTGTTTGTGTCTGTGTATGTGTATGTCAGACAGAGCTAATGCAAATCTTTTCATGTTACGGGCTGTGTACGTAGGGGAATGTTGTTATTTTACATTGAAACAGGATTGAATCTGTACCTATTAATAACATTTAATTCAAAAGAATTTTACAACACAGTATTTGTAATAATAGTTAAAAGTATAACTTCCTAGAACAAGAGGAGAATGTCTGCTGTAACTTGAGGTTTTTCTTTATAGTAATGTCAGCACTAATCACTAACCCTAAAGAGAAAAAACGAAGTGGCTGTTACTGACAGTGGTTCAGTCAGGCTGTTTTTAGATATGGCATGACAACAGATTGGGTTTTACATTAGTGTGCAAAAACCCCAGTGCTGTCAAGACCCAATAGCAGCACAACCAGGTCGGGATTAACTCAGGGTTTATTGGATTAAACAGAATACTAATCATTTTTAATATTAATATGCAAAAAAAAAAGAAGAAACATACGCAAATGAAACTTACTGATTGAAACTTAGCTTCTGAGCGTTGGTGGATCTTAGTCATTTGTGTACATCTTGACAGTGGGTCGTGGTCCTCAATGATATTAATCAGTCTACAGTCCTGAACAACTGGAACGACTGTCAGTCATAGACTTACTGCCTGTCCTGACCTCAGTCAAGTTTCTCTGACACAGGCTCGGCCGCTGACATGAGGTTGAAGGTTCTACACACAAACACATTTGGATTTGGATTTGAGAAGGTACTTTAAGGTTGAGGCGCTTCAGTGAAACAAAAACTCCATTCTGCAATGTGCGCAAATAGTATAAAAGTGTGTATGGACTCTGTATTAAAGCAACAATAAGTGGATGGAGATTGAAGGATGGGCGGTGTGTGACATTGGGTTGCACATGGGTTAAGATAGACTAACAAATTTAAATTAGATGAATTCTATAAATTAACTATCTTAACTTATCTTAACCATAATTTAAGCAACTGAATTTAATTCCATTCTTAACCCAAACATGGAGGTCATGACGTTGTGTGGGGAATTCCCCAGAATCTACATTCTCTGACGGATGTCAGAGAATTCCTCCGATTTTATGTTCCAATATAAAAATCTGTGCAATAACCAAGATAGTTTCATTTTCCTAAAGTTAAATCCTGTTTTCATTTGTTTAATTTTTCTACTTGATGATTGGCTACCTCCCCCCCCCCCCCCCCCCCCCCCCCCGTCACAGGAGGGTGAAACCATGAGGACTCTTCAGCCAGTGAAAAAGTCCATCCTCTTTCTTGTTCCCTGTCTTCTACTGCTCTACTTCTACAACAGTTGGCTGACGGGATTCCAGCCTGTGAACACCGTCCATCCCTACATCCTCTGCAAAAACAGCAGCGGCTACAGCCACAACGTGACCATTTTGCTTTGGCACTTTCCTTTTGGTGTATCGATGAAGTTAGATGGTGATGTATGCTGGGATCTCTACCACATTCCTCGCTGTAGACTGGTGGACCAGCGCTCCGCCATCTCCTACGCTGACGTGGTGGTCTTCCACAACAGAGAGCTCGTTATGGGTCATGAGAAGCTGCCCTTGGACCATGTGTGTCCGCAGCATCAGAGGTGGGCCTGGATGACCCTGGAGTCTCCAGTTAACAATGGAAACTTGAGACAATTCTCAAATATCTTCAACATGACCATGACCTACAGGAGGGATTCTGATGTCCCTCTGCCCTATGGGATGATTCTGCCAAAGGCTGAGGCTGAGGAAGCACAGCTGGAAGTTGTACCTCTGAATAAGAGCTCTCTCATCTGCTGGGTTGTCAGCAATTACCAGAGCCACTACAAAAGAAGCCAGGTTTACCAAGAGCTCAGTTCACTGGTTCCTGTCCAGGTTTACGGGAAATGGAGCAAGAATTACCTTCGGGATTCCAAGCTCTTACCTACCATTTCTCACTGCTATTTTTATTTGGCCTTTGAGAACTCTATTGCAACAGATTATATCACAGAGAAGCTGTGGAAGAATGCCTTCCAGGGTGGAGCAGTTCCAGTTGTCCTCGGTGCACGTTTGAGCGACTACAGAGCCGTAGCACCACCTCATTCGTTCATCCACGTGGATGACTTCACCTCGGTCAAGGATTTGGCCAAGTATCTGCAGCAGCTGGCCAAGGACGAAAAACGCTACCGGGAGTATTTTACCTGGAAAGAAAAGTGGGAAGTGAAGCGTTTCACCGACTGGAGGGAGAGACTCTGTCAGATATGTCTGCACTTTGACACTTTACCTGAACATAAAGTTTACCCCGATCTCATGGCCTGGATGAGCTCCTGAAAACCTGTTGAGTTTTTTGGGGTGGTGCAAGCGAACAAGGACAATTTGTATCAGCTAAACAGCTGTAAATTACATAACAATGTTTTGAGAAAGGAATAAAAACTACATTATTGCCTTTTAAACTATCCTGCTGTCTATATAACTATTATCATCCTACCAAGAGTGTATTTTAGATATATGTATATATATATATATATATATATATATATTCCATCCATACATCGATCATCTGCTTATCCGTTACCGGGTCACGGGGGCAGCAGTCTCTATGACCGCCACCCAAATCACATTGCACCGTACCAACCCCCCTGAACCTTCCTGCAGGTGGTGAGTCCACTGGAAAAAGAAGCGTTCCCTGACCGGGAATCAATACCTGGGCCGCAGCAGCGAGAGCGCCGAATTCTAACCACTAGACCAGCAGGGAATATATTTTTATATTTATGAATATATATATATATATATACACATAGTACAAACTTGATGCATTGATGTGTGACTGAACTGAGATGATGAATTGACAGAGAAAACAGGCCTTTGTTTTTGTGTGTCTTCTTGAGATTTACTCTATTAAGACTTCTCTGTAACTTAAATACATGTGAGTCTGGTTAAAAAGACACTTGACTACACCTGCTCAACATCCTGTAATTTCCAAGTTTGATTCAAAAGACCATTTAGTTGCATTGCTGAAAAATTAAGAAACAATTTGTTAAGTCACATCATTGGGGAAGAAACCTGATTGCAGCACTGTAACTGAGAAACTACAGCCAAGGGTGCAAGGTACTGGTCAGTCGTCCACCCCCATCAGTGAAGCCTTTGAAGAGGTAAGCAATTAACTTTCCAGAATCTGACACAGCTTTCAATGGCTCTAGACGTTTCCACATTATATAATTTATTACATAATTTATTTATATTATCATTATACCTCCGCCTTTTCCTTGCAATACCCACGTTTGCCCAACAGATGGTGTAAAAAATGATAAAAACATTTTAGCCTTTATGCATGACTTTTACACAGCATGGTCAAGGTCAAGGTCAAGGTCAGCTTTATTGTCAATACCTTCACTAAGCATTTATCTTAGTTCTCACAAACGCCCCATCTATCTGCTCCTGACCCACCCACCGGCCGCCCCTCCCCCGTTCAATTTTAGGACAATTCTGGCCTGCAAGTCAAAGTTTGTCCACTCCTGACATAAACAAAATCATCTGAGATTGATTAGCAACCCTTGGGCTGCAGCCTGTGGCTGGGCCATGAGCGCCCGGTCTCATCTGTCCTGTTGTGATTGTAGTTGCTTATCAATTCAAGGCAGCACCACAGACACATCACAGACAAAATTTGGTGGGAAATGTGCAAATATTTACTGATAAGAAAATTCATTGTGTTGCAGATACAAATTCTCATATTAAAAAACAACATTCTCTTGAGTCAACACAATATGTTTTAGTGTTTGACAAGACCAGCAAAACCAACACTTCAATAAATTACTGTAAAAAGTTGATATTTAAAAGTCAAGGTCCCTTTGGTTGTGAGGTTGAGAGACATTTCATGCCTCTTCAAAAACAAAAACAAAAGACTAAAAATACAGGTTCAAATTGATGAGCGATCCACATGACAACAGATGATAATCAAGTCTGCTTGGACGTTTCTTTCTTCTAGCCACGTGAGACCGTTACAGTAATAGACCTTGTGCAAAGAGCAGAGTTAGCAGCCACAACACTGATCCACAAACACCTATTCCCACCGTCGCTATTGCTCCATATTCAAATTTGGTCAACATGATGAACAACTTTAAGACAAAATGATTGGGTGTGGAATACCAACACAGATATATAGGGAAATATTCAATGTTACAAAAGCAACTTTGTGCAAAATTGGTGGACAAAAATTCTCTCAAAAGGACCTTAGGTTCTCCATTACAATACCAGAATAGCTGTCAAATGTTGGAGACGCCATTAAAACAGAAACACTCACACGGATACCCTTTATCACCATGATCTGACCCACAGAAAACCCATTGTCAAATTAAAACGTTCATATTTACATCATTATTCCACTTCGGGACAAACGTCTGGAGCCAAATCTTACCTTTTAGAACTGTAGAAACCTGTGGAATAACTCGAAGGCACAGTAGAGTCAAAAACACTTCAGGCGTCAGGTTTTTTGCTGGTGATTGTAAAATGTAGACCCTTCCACCCACCATCACCACCCATCCAACTATCAACAAGGATGCCCATCTTCTGCTGGAATAAGGGTCCACAGAGTTAGGATCAGAGTCTGGATTTGCCCAAATACCAACAGGACATGTTTAGCCTGTCATGTGGCCAACAAGTCCAGAATGAAGGGCTTGTTTCAGGCCGTCTTGTCGATGAAGCTGGGGCATGTAGAGAGCAGGTGGAGGGGGTCCAGGGTAGGTGGGAGTTGGGTAAGCCTGTGGGGGAAGAGGAGATGGAGCCATGCTCAATGGGGAAGGACTCTGCTCGTAGTACTGACCGTCGCATTCTTCGTCCAGAGGCAGAGCCAGGCGCTTTCCTTTCTGTCTTCGATTGCAGAACCACACGCGTACCACCTGTCAGGTACAGCTCGTTAGCCAATTACACAAATAGATTAAAAAAATAAAAACTTTTCATTGTCTGAAATTCTCAGTAATGCCCCGACTTACATCTCTCTCCAGACCCAGGTCATCTGAAATCTGAGTGATCTCCTGGGTGTTGGGTTTGGGGCACTTGACAAAGTAGGACTCCAAGGCAGAGCGTACCGCCCCCTCCAGACTGGTCCTTCGCTTCCTCTTTCTTGTGTCCACAAACACTCGTTCAATCTTGTACATCTATGGTCAACAAGCATATTACACATTGAATAAATTACAAGGATCAGCAAGACAGTAAATGGTTCATTCAAGTTTCCGAGAGCTCAGGTTTCAAGATTTCCCAAGATTAATCTTCCTGATTGCCACTAGATGGCAGACTGTCCTTCAGAACCAGGTCATATAAGAAAAACACCCTGATTCTTTGGGCTCTGTCAGAAATCTTTTGTCTTGTAAACTAGGCGGCAGATGTTGCCAAACTTACATCCTGCGGATTGTCCGAGGTCTCCGCTTCATTCAGCCATCTTTGAAGGAGAGGTTTCAGCTTGCACATGTTCTTGAAGCTTAGTTGCAGAGCCTCAAAGCGGCAGATGGTCGTCTGGCTAAACATCTTACCTGAAATATCAAAAAAATATATATATTAGTGGTGGCATGATCTGAAGCCAAACATTTGTGACAGGGAGGTTGGGGGAAATGTCTGTTGTATAGATTAGGGTTTCTTCAAAAGCTAAGGATGGAAACATTAGCTACTTGGCAAACCTACATACGACAAAAAGTCAAACATGTGAACACTCTGTTTTAGGGGTTGCTAAGGACTAGTAGAATTAGGAACCCCCTCATGACCCAAATCGCAAGTCACAAGTCTTGGCAAGGATTAAGTTAGCAAGTATTAGTGTTAGCCCTTTTGACGATGTCTCTTCTGTCTAGATACCAGAGGTGTTTGTACCGGACGTCTAACAGCTTTAACTGACATTTGTCTGTTTTGTAGTGTTAAATTTATATAACTGGTTCTTCACAATCAAATTGGCAGTTTGAAAATGGTTTTTGACCAAACTTTTTGAAAACTGTAAAAGACCCAGTTTTCAATGTGTCCAAGGACATTTAAAAAGCTAGATTCCAGTGCAACTGTACAGTTCATACATACAACAATACTTACCATAAAGGTTTCCCAGGGCCTGACCAACATCAGCTTGGGTGAAACCTAGGGTTATACGTTTGTGTTTGAGCTCTTTAGCAAATTGTTCCAGTTCTTCAGTAGAGAGGTTCTCCTGTAAGATAGACAAAGGTGGTGGACTGAGTTGACGTTGGACTTTTTCCCTAATACACATTTTAAAAAATGATGTAAAAATGGACAGTCACAAATGTTAAGAGACGGTATCGGTTTACCTCTTCTGAGTCGCTGCAGCCTCCACTGGAAGAGCCGCTGCTCCTGGTGGAGGAAGGCAGCAGGTTCTGGGCCGGAGGTCCGGTCACAGCCTGGGACTGGTTGGAGAAAAACGCGTTTGCCGGTAGGCCGTTGCTGGGTGGTGATGGTGACATCGACGGCGAAGACGCGGAAGATGTCGATGGATTTTGGTTGCTGTTTCCAGGTGGTGTAATGTGAGCGATACCCGGCCAGAAGGACGGGTTCCAGGCCGAAGGGTAAAAAACTCCAGGCGGCATTGCGGCCGAAGTCGGTGGGGTCTGATACTGCTGGGCCTTTATCTCCGTAGAGTACTCGTCTCCTGTGTCCTTTTCAGTCTTTATATCGGGTAGTTTGATCTGCTCCCGGGTCTCGGCTATTGGAGGGCTCAGGTTGGTGGGCTGGGTCGCTGCGGTGGCGCCGGGTACCTGGCCGGTGTACTCGGGCGCCGCGAAGGGAAACCAGTGCTTGGGTTGTCCAAAGTCTCCAGCCTGCAAGTCCGAACCCCGGTAGTCGGTGCTCATTGGAGTAAACGAGAAAAAGGTCTGCGCGGAACCCGGCGTGATGCCACTGTATGCGGCTTTGTTATAGAGGATGCTCGGGTCTGGCAGAACTCCGGGTGGGAGCTGGAACGACGCGGCGTTTCCCAAAAGTTCCTGAGCCAGATTCTGGCTGCACAAGTTGGAGCGGCTGAAATCATATGGCCGACTCTGGCACTCCGGACTCTGTGATCTTTCAGACATCATTCGCACCGACCGACGATCTCGCGTCTAAAACTAAAACTTAATATATGAAATTCGAAGAGAACAGTCAACGTGGAATGGTTTCAAACCTGCTCATCCGTTTGGACTATTCACAGGTACGGACCAGGGACACCGGTGTCAAGATGCTGTCCAGAAACAGTCAGGGCAAAGTCCGGCCTTGTGGTTTTTGGTGCAACATAAACACCAACACGCCTACGGCCTACTCCATTCAGCTCCAGATCAGACACTACCTCCAACCTCCTCACCTTCAAGCTCAAATGCTCCTCTCTGAGTGAAACTCCACAGGTTTTCCTAATCACGGCTGCAGGAGTTACGGCTCTCCTCTGCCCTCCTCTCATTGGCTGTTGCGCACAATTGCGCACAGCTGATGGTGAGTTTGTGAATGACCTTGATTCTTCCCACAGCAGTGGGCGTTGCTTTGTCGTAGATTCGCCACATTTGGTGGAAACTTTGCCTCTTGTTAAAGTCAAGAAAACACGAATTTAGCGGGTGTAAAGGTTCGTATATTTACATTGCTAAACAGCAGCTAACACTGCTAGCCTAGCCCCTTAACACTCCTAATCTCATACATGAATCATAATGAAGGGATTTGCCAAATTATTTATCCGTAAGGAAATGGCTTTGACTTTGAAATGACGGCAGGTGAATTAAATAAACTCACAGCGAAATTCTGAATAAATGTCATTTAGCACATTAAGATAATGACCGAGAAACAACAACTTGTTTTCGTACTGTACAACAGTGTTCGCGGGGTTTTACATCGTCCCTTTTCACTCATGTTTCAAGAATACATTTGAAGATAAAACGAAAACATTAAAAAAAATTAAAAAACACCCCGCTTTTCCAAGACGTGATATATTTTAAATCATGTACGTGTATTTGTGTGCAATATAGTACAATATAGACAAACTACAAAAGTTTGATAGTTTGTGGTATATAGCATTTTAAATTGTAGCATAAATAGCCTTTTATTTTCTACAGCATTTTTTCTCATTTTTGTTTTATGTTTTATCTTGGAGTTTCTAAATCCACCAAAAGCCCAGTACCATAGTGACAATAAAGTGTTATTTTCCGACAATATTTTTGAGAAATATCTTAAGTACTGTCCTGGTCTTTGTCAATAAATACACGTCATATATAGTGTTATATGTGGTACACGGCCTAACAAACACTGACTCTAAACCGTCTTGTGGGTCAAACTCAGCCTTTGTTATTTCAATTTGATGTTATTTATTATTATTATTATTAGAAGTAGTAGCAAACAAATGCATATATAAAGCAAAATCAATCTGTCAGCACAAATGGAATTTCGATCCATTTAATGTCATTTTTTTGCTCTTTGATTATTCATTGTAATATTATACATGTATTGCAGTCAGTTTTTAAACGTTAAATTTATTAAAGTGAGTAAATGTTCTGTTAGATCTAATGTTATAAAAATCCAAAATGAGATTTCATTGAATCCGCCGTTTACGTCACTTTTTCTTTTCTTAGCACATATAAATAGCTATGTATTTAAATATATTTGTATATAAATGTCTGGTGTTATTCGTTGTTAACTGGGTTCATCTCGGTACGTTTAGGCAAAAGTACCGCGGTTCGGTTACGACACCACCCTCAAGTCTCAGGTGATCTGTGTCCACTCCGTCCACTGAGGCACAGATGCGCTCCCCCAGAGAGGGTCGTTGGCCGCAGATTGCGGCAGGAAGACGCGCTGCGGGGTGGGAGCGAGGGGTCCATTGTAGGAGCTTGCCCCCGGGCACCCTGTGGAGTTCGGATCCCGAGTTGCGATGGTCGACCATTAGCTCCTTTTCACATCGAAACAATAAGTCTCAACTCTTTGATTCCGCCCCACACCCTCGAAAAACACCCCCCGACCCCCATGCTCCTCTGAAACAAACACCGACGTTTCACTCTGCCCAAGACCAGAAAGTCCAGAACAGGTCTGAGGAGGTGCAGGTGCAAAACCCAAATTGTAAAAGGGAAAAAAAAACCACGTTACTGTATGTGAGTCATTGATAACGTGAAGAAAATTTTGATTTTTAACTTCTCTGACTGTTATAGTGATTTCACTCTTTACAATATTTTTTTTTGTTTTTTTGATAGATTGAAAAAATAAAATAAAAAAAAGAAAAAGAAAAAAAGAGAGAATGCAGAAATACAGCTGTGATCCAGTATCAGGAACAAACCTGGGGGAGACCACAAGAGCTGTGCCTGGTCAATAGCTTTAGAGGACATCAAACCTGAGCTATACAAGTATTGTCCTGGGACATGGACTTGGGGGTGGGATTGTCATGCAAAAGACAGACAGCAAGACAGTGAGAGGGAGAGTAGAAAGGGAGAGCCGAGCGGTGGGTGGGGGAGGAGGGTGGAGGGCCTTCCATAGCTTTAGTACAGTGAGGAGAGGATGTGTGATTTGCCTGACTCACCCCTCCCTCACTTTTCTCCCCCTTCCTCTACACAGATGCCTCAGATCTTGTCTTTAGCTCTTTTTAAGTGGCCTCTCTGAAGACACCCCAGCAGATCAGGCAGATCAGGCCCAGTCACAGACAGAGAGGGGGGTGGGGGGTGGGGGTTTGAGATAAAAGAAATACTCCCAGGAGAGGAGGAGGAGGAGAGAGAGAGAGAGCAACCACAAACTAACATTTATAAACTAAACCTTAATTAAAGTTTGATGCCCTCAATAAAAGTTAAAGTGCAAACTGCCAGGCTTTTTGGAATTAGATAAGTCTGTGACTTATTTTACATGATAGCATTTTGTGTACAACAAATGTTGGGGGATTAATTGGTAATATTTGTATATATAGAAATATTAGTTTTTAAGGCACCATGAGTCAAATGAATCTAAATAAAAAACAGGTAAAACTGATAAAAAAGGCAACAACTATTGAAAGTTGATACTGGTGGAGTTCAATATGCTGAATAAATCAACCTAAAAAAGCCAACTATAGGTTTATTTAGGTACTGATAGCCTATGAAACACTTTACAGTTTGAGAAAAATATATAAAAAAAAATGTTATCACCACAAATACCTACAGTAGGTCACTCATTACAAACGATGCCAACGACAGCTTTAAAAGCCATAAAATATTCAACAGGAAAAAAATGACCAGAACAACTGCAGCAGTTACATCATAAGCTATGAATGAATTGAATGAATGTTTTTTTTCAAATGTAACAAACGTTATTTGTTAGCATAAATGTAGCACAGAACAAACAAGAACCTGTGTTTACAGCAATTAAGTTAGCAACCAGATAGCTAAAATTAGCACAGTTTAATTATCTTAATTTAATTATTTAGTCTTGACTTAAAGCTAATAAAAAGATAAATATTAGTTGACATTATCTAAAAGAGATTTGATAGAATGCAAAAAGACCAAAGAGTAGGTTCAGAATAGTTATATTATTCATTTTTAAAACCCTTAAGCTTTAGCCTCAGGAAAAAACTCGTTGGTCGTATAAAACATGTCCCTGTAATGTTGTGGACATCTGGGCCAGACTTTCGTTTTACTTCTGTTTGTGTACCACTGCTGATCTTTGACAGACCCAAGCTAACCCGTGGTTCTGTGCAACCTCAGGATTGTGTGTTCTCACTTCCTGGTTTTGTCTCACACATCTGAACTGTCAACCTCTGTTACATGTTCCTGTTTCTCTAACATATATTATTTATAATAAAGGTGTGAGAAAGTCTTCATGTGGAAGTAAACCAGATCCTTCTGATAAAACCCATTTTATTTAAAATTAGTTTCATTCAATAGCAACAACACCCAGAACCTAGGAGTCAGATTAATGCTGAATATATCATGATCCTGTTTCATACTATATATACACTTTTCTCAGTACTGAGTGACTGATAAAGTTAAATAACAGGAATTTAACAACAACCCCTCCTGTTGAGCAGCACAATCGTCTCTCACAAACAAGTCTGATGGCTTTTTGATTTTCTTCCTAACGGCCCTGCCTTTGACACCCACCTTCACACACCCTCCACCCACAGTCAGGTTTCTACCGAGGCCCCAATGGCTGCCTTCCTTCGACTGTGTTCCAGCAGCACAAAGGCCTTTAATGGCCCTCTTGGACTGAAAGGGGACAGACAGACACACACACACACACACACACACACACAAACACACACTTTCAGGGTCGTAAACCTTTGCCATTTCAGTAGGACAGTGATACCATGCTTTAAATATCATCTCCATATATTTACTATTATAAATAAGTTTTGTCTCGCAAAACTTTTATACATGAATTTTGCAGTATTACCTCAAACCACATTTATTTATGTATTATTGACATTTTAATATTGGCCAGATGCATGGGTTACGGCAGGCCATAAGTGGACTCCGAGCCAGAACTTTGAAACCAAATATCTTAAGTACTGTATATCTAAACAAATTATGATTTAGGTCAGGTTTTTATTCACCTAACTTGAAGCACGGAATTAAAAAGTCCATCCATCCATCCATTTTTATCCACAAAAAATATATACTTGTTTTTGATTTATTGACTTTGGTATCTTAGTATTTGTTTATTGTAGCTTTCACTTATTCCGATATAATAGGGAATCTTTGCAGGAACTACTAACCTAACTTTGCTCTATTGTACTGTTGTGTTTCAACTTACAATAAAATGCATTCTGTTCTGTGCTGACCAATCATTTTATGCTTGTTCCAAAAAAGAAAACATCCACAAATTTGCCTGTTTAATTATTTAGCCGTCACCAAAACCTAATTTGAAAAATTTGGCATTTTGTTTCAAATACAAATTCTGCCTCGGTTCCTGTGATTCGTAATCACATGCTGCTGTAAAAGCAATGGCAGTCATAACCAAAATTACATGGATTTTTATGTTTACTTTCATTTATTTATTTAGTCATTTTCTTTGGCAAATTGTAGAGTAGAGTAGAGTAGGGCTTTATTCATCCCCCTTGGGGGAAACATACTAGTACAGTAGGCAGTGCAGAAAAAGAGAGAAGAGGAGTTAACACAATAAATAGAGTAAAAAGAACTAAAAAAGCAAAGAGCACTCAAAAATTAAAGTAAACCTTTAGAAAAAAAATATACATAATAAACAAGAAAATATACATATTGCACTAAAAATTTGTGGTAAATTGGTGGTAAAAGTAAGTTATAAGTATATTATAAGTTATGCAAAAGAGCTGTACTTTTTTAAGTGCCCCAAACGTTTGCGTCATACATCCTGTTAACCTGTTATTACCAGAATTATGCCCGCACACACATTGGTTTCCTGATATAAATGTGTCAACTAAGCAATGGTCACACCCACAGTTTTTGTTTAACAGCTCCACCATCTGAGGAGAAAAACCTCTGCCAACGCTACTTGTAATTATCAGAATGACTTGATTATTGAGTGAAAAAATAAAATATAGAAAAAATAAAAATATAAAGAAGCGAAACATAAACAACATCAACTTTTAGAAGGTATAGAATAATTATAGCATGAAAATTTTGGACAAAACATGCTTCAGCAGTGCCAAAAACCTTTTGCACTAGCTCCAGTCGTCCCCATATCTCAATATACTGGTTATATCTCCGCTGGAACTTGATAGACTGTGAGGTTTTTTTTTGTACCTGGACCTCAGTGAGATTTTCTTTCTTAATAAAAGGACAGAAAATTGACTTTTTCAGACGTGGTAAAAAGTTTTAATTTTTTTTTGTCCGCGTGTACAAATACCTATAAAAAGTGAACACTTTCACTCTTTGTATGTACATTTTGCAGTACTTGGAGATAAGCAGCAGGAGAAACAGGGAGAACAGCGTCTTATATAGGTAAACAGTAGCCACATTCAACACCTGCACATATCCATTAGTGTAGCTAGTCTACCAACCCAGGGGTCAGAGGTCACGTTCCTTTACATTCTTCAATTATTAGTATGCAACGCCTTCACTGATACATGTAGGAGGCAGAGTAAGTCGTCAGGCTCTGCCGTGATTAAGACACAGTACAGTCAAGCCATGCAAACAGACGGCATCAATCAAAGACGTCAAGACTTACTAGAAGTTCTCAGGTGCAGTTTATATGGGAAATTTAAAAAATAGATGGGTTTAACATCTCCTGGGTAACATTTACCAATGTGGTTTAGATGCAGGCTGTGTAAGACTTGACAAAAAACAAGTTTTATACATTATCAAAATCTTTGGGCAGAGCTGCAAGAATGGAGGGAACAGGACCAAAGTGCGTGGGCTTAAAGCCTAGAATGAGCCCGGAGGAGTATCAGACAAAAATAAGACGTACAGATACTTTAAAAACTGTAATACCACGTCAACGAGATCAGAGAGAATTAAAAAGAGAAGTACAATAAACAATACAATTATTATTAACCCCCTTATGTGAGGCCTAGAGCCTGGACTTTAACACCTTAGTTTTTTTTATAATTACAGATGATATAAGATATTTGACTATAATCAGACCTTTCTCAAGCTTCCACGACACTATTTAACCTGCCACACAAACTCAGGAGGGGGCAAAAATGCAAGTTTGTTTGGCAGCTGTGGAGAAATAAAAAGTGCACAAAAAGGAAATAAGACCGCAAAGTTAGCTACAACAGTCCTGGTACAGATACTAGAGTTAATATTAGCTACAATGGTCTTGGTAGAGACACCACGGCTAACGTTAGCTGCAATGGTCGTGGTACAGACTATGGAGCTAAAGCTAGCTACAACAGATGAGACAAAGCAGGTTTTTTTAACTGCCCTGAACGTTCACACCACAGTACGTGGTTACCCACAAAGAGATCATTTTCAGGTATTTTCAACAGGTCAGTTTTAGCAGGTTTTTATATTAGACTGGGGTATTTAGTCATTAAGTCATAAGATTTGATAAATAATTCAGGGTTTGTATGAGAATAATGCAATGCAACCATCTTTAACTGGGGATGGTTCCCCACTCTACATAAAAGCACTTTAGAAATTCATATTCTTACTGTGGGCTGACAGAGTTCTGTCCAGAAGCGTGTACGTAAGAAGGAGAAGATAGAATTTCTACTAAAAGAAAGAAGGTTAAGTTTAAAAACCATTGCCTTGATTCAGAGGTGTGTTCAGCCTGTACACACTATACACAAACACTGTGTGTGTAATGTGTTCAGGTGTCACTTGTGATTCTCCTGATACTGTAGAGTGGAGTCGTCAAACAGAGGGTTCTTCACCTCCATCTCTCCAGTCTGTGGAGAAAGGAAACAGATCATCAGTCTTGAAACAGCCTCGAGATGAAACCAATCCTTTTAATATACACTCTCTATATGCATATGTGTACAGGTGTGGGTTTCTACACACCGGTGCGAGTCCCGGACACTCATATACTGTGAAATCTCCGCCCACTTCTTCCTCATCTGATGTGGCCTCGCTGTCAAGAACTTTTTGTTCCTGTTTGTGACTTTCAATCAAAAAACAAAAGAGGTCTTAGGTTTCGGGTTAGGGTTAGTGGTAGTGGTTAGTGGTGATGACTCGAGTGCAACAGGATGTGGATGGAGTTTAAAAAGCCCTCTTAGTCACAATAGGTGAAAAGAAAAAATAATAATAAAAAAAAGTCTCACTTTCCCATCGACAGCATTTGTTGTTTCTGATGCTGATAGTGATACATCTGAGCATTGTGGGCCAGAGTCTTATCTCCCATCTGCTGTGGGAACAGAAGAGAGAGGAAGTGTGAATGACAACTGAAAACGACAGCCTGAGCGGACAATGCAGTCATACACGGCTTATGGTTGATAAAGGTGAAAGAGTGAGAAGAGGAGTTGACAGAGGAGGTTCGTACAAACGATGTCTTATGGTTAGAATTCATAACTCTTTAAACAAACTCTTTTAAACTGCTGCTGGTGTGGTGCTCATTGCCATCTTAACAATGCCAAACGTCGCACAGGGTTGGTACAGAAGGCACAGGTTCAGGTTTTGGCTGTTGTAGACAACCAGAAACTTGTTCCTCATAAGAAATCACTGTGCTGTGTGACTCACATGTCAAGCAGGTTAAAATGAAAAGAAAAAAAACCCCAGTGCGACCCACACCGTTCTATTTGTAGAGCACACAGCTGTCCACACAACTGTAAATAAACACATTCTGCTAACACAGACATTTGCTGATGATAAGAACAATTTTGGAAGCAGTAGAAGCTGCAGATCTCACAGTATTTTGCAGCTTAAAAGTATTCACTAAACACCACTGTGATTCTTGACAACATGCTTTTATAACTGAAAAAAGAGAATTCATTACATATTCAATTATCCCCCCCCCCTACACCCCACCCAACAGCAACAAAGTAACCCTTTCCAACCTCAGTGGTGACTGATAGTCCGACTGTTTAGAGTTTGTCGACAAACTGCAACTTGTTCAACTGACTACAGGTGTGAACGGTTGGTCACACTCTATATGTGAGTCATGACCCACCAATGGAGACACACATACATAACAGGAACAAACAGTAGACACACCAGAGAGCACAGTACTCACCGATGCTCCATTGGTTGTGGCTGGTGGTGCACCAGTGCCACTGAAAGCAGGGTAGTCCACCTTCTGAGCCAAGCGGGAGTCTTTCTGCAACCTGTGGAGGTCATAAATCATCAATCACGTATAGGTATATATATAGTTAACTTACTAACTAATTAAATATTTGTTCTTAAATAAATAGTGTTGGAATTAAAAATGAATTGTATATTTTTATGTATTTGTACTACTTTTTTTTACTTAACCTTTATATAATCTAAAATAAAGTTATTAGTTTAACCTGGATTTCTGTCTGTTTTAAGTAGATTTACAAATTACAGGTCAAAATGACCCACAACATCATCATTCAATGAACATCACAAACGTGACTTTTAATGAGTGAGTACACAGTACATAGATGCTTGTGACCATTTGTGTTGGGACTTACTTGACGTAACAGATAGTAGCCAACAGCACAGCCACTGTGCCCACTGTGACACACAGTGAAATCATAACTGCACACAGAAGAAAGATACTGTCACTTCAGGGAACAACGGCTGATCAAACTCACAGCAAACCCTAATGTGTCCGGTGAACATAACCAGCTGCTGCCATATTGACTTTGACCATTTGAACAATACCATTACTATGAGTTAATGGAATAATGGGGCTAAAGTGCTTCTCTGTGTGTGTCTGTGTGTATAGACAGGGAGCAAACTCACTGATCATCATGACATCCTTCTTAGGTGGTGAGACCTTCAAAGGCCCAACTCTGCCCTCCTTTCCTGTGGCTCTGGGATGAACAGTCGTCGTGTTTGGGATGGCATACTCTTTATGTTTTGGAGCAGGAGTGACAATTTTGTCAGATGAGAGATAAAGTCGGCTTTTCTGTTTGGTCCTGGTCTTTTCATCAGTTGGTTGCAAGCTGACTGCATTTGAGGAAAGACACAGGGAGAAACACAGGGAAAAATTAGAACATTTTCTATGAAAAAGGAAAAAAGAATTAGACAATACATAGAACAGAATATAAATAGAATATAGAATATAAATATTTATCAGCTACAGCTACTTACCAAGATGTTGGTGTTTGTGTTCCTTTGCTTTGCTCTCTGATATTTCAATTTTTTGGAGAATAGCCTGGAGAAAATCAATCTCCTCGTCCAGATCAGGGTAGGATGACCCTTTAAAATAAACAATAATAATAATAAAGTACAAGATTCAGACCAACTAACATCTTCACAAGTTAATGCCTCGTGTTCAACTAAACTGGTGGATTCATTCTTACTTATTGTCCGGCTATTCAAATGTTGGTTAAATCCAATTGAATCAAAGACAGTAAACGATCAAGTAATCAATCCCCCAAAGAATAAACAGCTGCAGCTCTACATGCGGCCATTGTTTCAGAAGAAGAACCAACTACATCTGCTCTGAGCTGGCCTTGTGTATTTTTTCCTGTCTGTACTTGTCTTTTTGAGGGCACTGGCTGTGAAGTGATGGACAGGGAGTGTGCCTATGTGTCTTGTTTGTTTGTAGGCTGGTTTGAAAAAATGATGGGATGGGGGGACAATACTAAACTGTTGTTAACAGCCCTTCAGGCCAGACAGTGAGCCACATTCCTGCATCACTGTCATGGTCTCCACGGTGATTAGGGCCCAAAGTGTGTGTGTGGCCAGAGGAGGAAGCACCACAGGGGGCAAGGAGCAATCAGCCAAAGTATTCCCCTGGCACAGCCTGAGCTGCTGTATTTCCACAATAGATCCTGTAGTTCACTGTTAATGGAGGTGATCTGATTGTTGACCATAAAGTCACTCGGCAATATAAACTAAATGTAGGAGAACAGGTAATGGTGTCAGAAGCTAGCGGGATTAGAGGGTAAATGACCTTGAAAAGGTTCATATGCCCTTGTCATCGAGAACTAGTTATACATCCTGCTGAGCACTTACTTTTTTAACATGTAGTGTGTTATGTGTTATTTTATGTTAAGTGAAAAGAAGGAGGGAGAAGAAGGTTTGTGTTGCGGTAAAAGATGGATGACAATTTTGTTTTTGAATTACCAAAAAAGCTAATTTAGAGTAATAAAAAAGAAAATTACACACAGGCTAAATGGTTTAAAATTAAGAAAAGGGTTAGGGTTATAAATCAATCTAATCTAAAACAAAAAGAATCTGGTTGGTGCCAGGATTAAAAAAAGGATTACAAATTAAATATAAGATAAAGGATTACCAAAGAGGAGTTGACTAAGCGGTAGCAAAAACACAGGTCGGAATAAGCCAGAAATACTCTTACATTTTTTCACTCATACACAAATTTAAATCCTGTCAAAACTGAAGTAAGCCATTGATATAAAACATAGAGCTGTGTGAAAAAAAAAACAGATAAATACAGAATAGCTTAAACCTAGTAAAAAATATTCACAGGATATTTTTAACTTTTAAATTAGTTTCAATCATTTACTCAAAAAATATACAAGAATTGCTTAGAATTAGCCAAAAACAAAAACAAAAAAAGAACAAGCATGCCCTGGAAAAACTGAAAGTTAGCAAAAGAAATAGCTAAAAGCAAATATCTCATACAGTAGGAGTTCTAGAAATAAATAAGTGAACTTTGGTTCACTTAAGCCAGTTAAAATGTCAAAAGAAAAGTGCCGACTCCACCTACGTGACTTTTGAATGATTACAGCGTCACTTTCACTCCAGAAGGCCTGCCATCTGGCTGAGCTAATGTGTATGATATAACATGCCACCACTCTCACTGCCTGCTTTGTTTTCCTCTCACCCCCCATCACTAATGGCCATTTAGTGCACTTCATAGCAGGTGTCTGTGGAGGCGGGCGCCACCATCTGTACTTTGCAGGTGGCTGAGAGCTCCAACCGTGCACGAGCGAGCTGCCAGGATCGTGCCTGAGGACTAGGAGACTCAAGGAGAGTTGATTAAATTTTTAGGTGATTATTGAGCAAGTGTTGACTGATTTAAAGTTTGCAGGATTAATAGCTTGGTAAAGGGAACAAGACAATGGACAGTTGAGAATAAATGAGCTTATGATAAATAAGTTCCTCGGACAAATCAAACACGCTCCACCGAATTTACTGGACTCCTGGTCTGGACCCAAGTCATTAGATCACTCTAAAGATTTTCAGTGTGATCTAAGCCAGACCTCTCTGTTCACTGTTTTTTTTTTTGGAGACCTCCCTCTTTTTTTCATTAGGGTCTAAGTATGCGTCAGCTGGTTCAGTGTTGCAGTGCAAATTGACACCAATGCCTAAGAGTCACTTTGTTCAAAAATCATCTCATGTTGTTCTCTCCCGCAATATATTCCTTATATTCCTGGATGCACTAAAGCAGGGGTCAAAAACCTCTCTGAAACTGAGAGCTACTTCAAAGGCACTCAGTAAAACGAAGAACTACTTGTTTGACACTGACTTCCCGAACAATGTAATAACAATTAGTTCTGGAACATACAGTAGTAGACACTCTTTTTATTATTGTCCTTACACCCGTTTGCAGTGTAACTGATTAAAAATGGGGGGGCTACCAGGAGCCCCTGGGCACCATGTTGGTAACCACTGCACTAAAGCATCCTTATAACATTGATGGCTAATGCTAACGCACACAAGTGGTAGGTTGCATTAATAAACAAATGATGTTCACGTTCATTTAACTAGTCATAATGAAAATACTCAAATGAAATGTTACAATATATGACTAATTGGCTGAAATATTACTAGTATTAATTAAAACAGGGAATCTGGTAGATGCTAGGGTATGAATCTTGTATTTAGGGGTGCACCAATGAATCTGTGAAAAGAAAACGATTTGTTTTTAACTGCGAATCAGCGACAGCTGAAGAAAACCTCAACCATAGTTGAGAACTCACCCAGGAAATGTATCAATTGTGTGCACGTGTGTAGTTTTACACACACTGTCTACGCTCACACACCTCTGCCTGTCGAAGGGAGTTTTGTCACCAGCTTGATAATGACCCATAACCTCTTGAGAGTCACCCAGGGGGTGGGTGGGTACAACAAACAAACACTAAACATCTCAACAGGGAATGTGTGGCTCCAACACATCTGTGCTGATCTTAGAAAACCATCACCCTTCTTCCTCCGCCAATCACAGGAAAGACAACTCCCCAGCCATTCTTTCATTTTCTAAGACAAAGAGACAAATCCCTAAGCAATCGATCATGTGACCTACATATAGTGATAAACATAGCCCAAATCTGTTCACTGAAAATCTGGCCTACAAATTAACCAAAGAAGATCTGTTTCTCCTCCTTGTCACTGACCTAAGTCTGACTGAGATGTGGCCCATGTGTTATGCATTAAAAGCTAATGAGTTTCTGTATTAATTTATCTTACATTTTTATACATATAACAGTAATCTGTTTTTGAGCCACGAGTAACCATTTTCTAGCATTTCTAGGATTTTGTCATAAAGTTCTAAGACTGGTGGTATCATTTCATAGGTGTCTGATTTTTAAACCTGAAAGATGCTGCACCACGTTTCTCAGACTGCAACAACTTTGACAAAAACCTAACCTATCTGATCTGTTTGCTGTCACATTTGGTTTGTCCCTGTAAACGCCATATTTAATGAGGTTTCCAGTGAATTTTCAACACTAGGAAAACGCTGCCCTCTAGTGGGAATTATACTGGCATCATATAGCCCAGGGATCACCAACGTGGTACCGGGGGTCACCTGGGTGCCCTCATGGCAGAAAGTTTGGTAACCACTGACTTAAACGTTAAATTTTAAGGGAGAATCATGTTTCTGTCTAACAAATCTTCACACGTGGCCATTTCACGCTGTCAAGAAAGGTTGAGCTCAGTATCTGAAAGGTCAATAATCCAAAGGTCAAACTGAGTGTATCATGGAAGACTATAATAGTTCCGCATTTAGGCCAAAAGAAAAGGGTACGTGTCAAAATATGCTACAATAACATGTTGCGACATGTCCCTGATCCAGGGAAGTGAAAAAGGGTAAATGATCAGGGGAAAGAATACAATGATTTTTATACTAACAAATGAAAAGAATGAGCAATACCTTGAGATAAAATCAGTTAGAAAAAAAATAAATGCTGGTCCGAGGACTAAGGCTGTTTCCTTCTTTAACTCCACTAGGTGTCACTATGCCCACATACGCTGTATTGGTAATCAAATTGTGACTTACAGGTAGTAAGAGCCACACTTGATGACGTATATTTTCGGTCATGTTGCTCTGACCGAAAATGTCAAAAAGAAGCACACAGAGTGGAAGGATGTAAAGAGAAGCTGTCTTTCCATTACAGACATGAACTGGAAAAGTCTGATCTAAAATAGTAGAAACACAGATCAGGTCATCTTTTTTTCAAAGTAAAACAGGTATAAAAGAAAGAAATGGAATTGAGCCAATGTTAACAAAAAACAAGAAAAAAAGTTCTGATACCTTAGCTGGCTTTTGGCTTATTAAAAATAAAATGTATAATTAAAAAAAGAAATTAGGCATGGAGTAGCTAAAACAACAATGATTTGTGGAATAAACATTAAAAGTTCTAATGATATAAACATATCATTCCCCAAAAGCTAAAATGTATTGTGTATTAAATGCCAGAGAACCACAGTGAAGGACAAAGCTAAATGTTAGCCAAAACACAGGTTGACATCGCCTACAATAACAACAAAACATGATCTATAACTTGTTAAAATAGTTTTCCAAATTGATAGCTAAAGCTTAAATGTTAAGGTGATTTTTTTAAAAACTCAATAACAACTTAAACAACAAAGAAGTGAGAGTTGAAAATTTACAAGATTAATTTAACTATAAAAACAACTGTAAAAAGAATAAATAACAACAACAGACACAATAATGATAAAACAATTATTTCTAAAGGTTAGCCAAATATATATATATATATATATATATATAAAGAATTGCTGTGAGAGAATTAACAGAATATAGAAAGCTAAAAGAGATGTATAATTTAGAAAAAAACACTACAGGAAGTATTGAAAAAGATGGTAACAACAAGTTTAGAAATAGGTAAAAGTTTATAAACAAATAATCAGAACATATTGCATAGGTGCAAAATAATATTTTTATATTTTTCTGAAAGGTATAAATGTGTTGTTATTATTATTACAAATATCTCACAGTAAAGTAAACTTCAGGCTTAATGGAAACTTCTCCCATCTACACAGGT